GCAGTCGCCTATATGCGAGACGGCGGGTGGGCGGCCTCTGAGTTGTATATGATCTTGTTGGAATTTGGCCTTCGTTGTATATGATCTTCCTCGTGTGCGATGGTCCTTGTATATGATACTTCCCCTATATTAAGCTCTTGTGTATGATCGTCCTTGTCTATGACATTGTAGTGGCCTCCGGCCAGTGCCGCCGATGCGGGGCGCTCTGGATGATGAAAATGGTGATGATGATGATGATGATGGTGGTGGTGGTGGTGATGATGATGATGATGATGATGACGATGCAACCCTGTCGCGGTAGAACATGTTTTTGGCGAGCTTCCCCCTCCCACGGCTGGTCGACGCGGAGGAGGAGTAGGGGAGGAGTGGAAGGAGGAGGGAGGGAGGAGGAGGCAGGGGGAGGAGGGAGGAGGGAGGAGGCAGGAGGAGGAGGAGTCGGAGGAGGAGGTGGATGATAATGATGATGATGATGATGATGATGATGATGATGATGACAATGGTGATGATTATGATGATGATGCTGATGATGATGATGATAATGATGATGATGATGATGATGTTGATGATGATGATGATGACAATGATGATGATGATGATGCTGGTGATGGTGATGATGATGATGGTGATGGTGATGATGACGATGGTGATGGTGGTGATGCTGATGATGATGATGGTGATGATGATGATGCTGATGATGATGCCTCCTCCTCCTCCCATATGATGATGCTGATGATGATGCCATCCTCCCATATAGAGCTCCGCTCCACCGAAGGCCCCTCCCCCCCCCCCATATTTCGGCGCACCCTGCGGTTCGTGGAGGACCCATGGGGAGCTCCCCTCGGCCCTTCTTGCCTCCTCTCCTCCTTCAGTCCGTAGCCATGATCTGCGCTCAAGCAGCATTCCGCCAGAAACGAAGAAACTCATCACAATCATAATCATCAAAATCATTATCGTCATCATCATCGCCGTCATCATCATCGCGGGCCTCCCACCGAAGGCCCCAGTGGCAAAGTTCGCACGCGGTTCCAATGTCGGCGCACCCCTTACACGGTTCGTGGCCCCATAGGGAACTCCAGCGAAGGCCCCAATTGCAAAGTTCGCATGCGATCCCCCACGCGCACACAAACACACACACACACATAGACACGCACACGCGCGCGCACACACACCTCCGGCCTCCCTCAGCCCTCCTTGATAAGGGGCGGGGGGAGGGCAGCGGGAGGAGAAGGCAACGCGGGGCGCTGTCTCTTCAAAACGAGGACCCAACGCCACAGGATGGCATCCCTCCTCCTCTCCTTCACTGCCTCCTCCTCCTCCTTTTCCTCCTCATCCTCCTCCGCCTCCCGCAGTCGTTTGACTCAGCGCCTTGCTGCAAGCCTTCAGGGGGCTCCCAGCCTACGGAGGCGCCCGCGCGCCACGTTGCGTCGCCCAAGTTGCAGCCAATGCAACAGTTGGACGAGGCCACCGCCATGTATCTGCAGCAGGGCTTATGTTCTTGTTTCTATTGTGGCGCTGCTGGTCACACCACGTGGTTGAGGGGCTGCCCGCATCTCTTTGGACGACGCCTACTCTATCGAGCTATGCCGAGGGCGGAGGCCGACCAGCTCCGACGTGGCAGCGCCTACCATAGGCTGCAGGACGACCAGGCCCACGATCTGACAGCCTTCGAGCATGTGAGTTTCGGCAACGTGCGAGTGCGCTCTCGGTACTTCAGTGCGTCCGTCGAGCTGGGCCCAGCCATGTTCTGGACCACTTGCATCGTCCAGAACGGCCGCACAGTTCGATCCCGTGGTCACAATTGGGATCATATTGGTATTGCCTCGCTGGATCGCGCGCACGTCACAGTGCAGTATGATGTCAGCAACTCCTACCAATGCTGCATTCACAACCTGAACACGGAGATAATGGCGATGGAGGCTGGCGGCAGGTGCTACACTGACACACGTGCATGGCGATTGGCCACAAGCAACAGTGAAGTGATCCTCTCGCGGATCGAGCCTGCGGCGCTATTGGTATACCGCACTGTCGAGGAGCTCTGCCTATGGGGACTGGACGTCCCATCACGCAATCAGAGGAACCAGCAGCTGGACAGGTGGATGTTGTACGACATGTGGGCCGGTCGGTCGCGGTATGGCTTCATCACGAGTTGTCCGCATTGGCTGCCGCGGTAGGCTTTCAAGTGTGTGGTTCTTTGCAGCGGAATGGTTCAGAGCGACGCGGATGACAAGGCCCAGTGCCCAATGTACTGATCGTCTGATGTCGTTACTATTTTCATTAGCCGAATTTGCCATCGCACAGCCGTGCAATAGAATCGGCCCACGGCCCACGCGGCCCACGCGCCGGACCGGCGGATTGCGGGCCCGCAGAGCGCCGCAGGCCGCAGGACTCAGGACTCTTCCTCCTCCTCCTCCTCCTCCTCCTCTCTCGTCGCTGCAGCTGGCCCGGCTGGGACGCAACTCGGAAGACTGGGGACTGGGCCCCTGGGCCCTCCTTCCTTCCTTTTCGCCGCGGCTGGCCCCGCTGGGCGCAGCTCGAAGAACTGGGGCCCAGTTCTTCGCTGCAGGCTGGTCCAGCCATAAGGACCGCATTCACCCATCGGAACACTGGGAGCCCATGACCCCAGCATTGCCCCACCCCAGCACGACCCCACCCCAGCAAGGCCATCACCCAGCGCGACCACGCCCCAGCACGACCTCACCACAGCACGACCACACCCCAGCACGACCACGCCCCAGCACGACCACGCCCCAGCACGACCACGCCCCAGCACGACCACCCCCCAGCACGACCACCCCCCCAGCACGACCACCCCCCCGCACGACCACCCCCCAGCACGACCACACCCCAGCACGACCACTCCCCAGCACGACCACACCGCCTTGGTTGAGTGGTTGCCTGTCGTCGTGGAATGTTTCGTGGGGTGTCTCGTGGACTGTTTCGCGGGGTGTCTCGTGGAATGTTTCCAGGCAAACGTTGAAAACGGTCGCCCGTGTCTCGTGGAATGTTTCGCGGGGTGTCTCGTGGAAGTGCCCGTCGCCCAATACGGTGTCGTGAAAACGTTTCCATGCATGCGGTTCTATATCCCTTTCCGGGTTCGTGGGTCCATCATGTTGGGGGGCGATCTTGGAGTTCCTCTGCTCTGAACCGTCCGAACCGCTGTGACACCTCTCATTCAAGTCTGAGTCTTCAGTAGCCGATTTGGCTCGGCTGAATGTTTGGCCAGATTGGCTGCTCTCGGTCCTTCTCGCGGTTAGCAGCGCTGGCCCGCGACGCCATTCATGTTCGCTGGCCTTCATCCCGTGGCTCCTCAGTCTGAACCGCAGAGGGATGGCGAGCCGCCGCCGCCGCCGCCTGGGCCTGATAGCATGACAGAGATGTTCAACTACGTGGAGGTGATGGTGTCGTCTATCTTGTCAGGGCCTGGTAGCGCCCGTTTCGTTCAGAACTTGAAAGCTAGAGTCATGCTCACTACCAAGTACTCTGGAATGGGCTGCGAAGCGATTGCGCTGTGGTGGATTGGTCGTGCCGCGCGAGCTGCTGGAGTCGATATTCCTGGTGATTGGTTCAATTTCCATTCAGCATGCGATAATCTACCGCTAAGCCAGAGAGTGCTCAAGAACTTCAGGGCGGACGTAAAACCTAAGCACTTGTTTCGGGATATTCTGTCCAGACACGAGCCGCAATTTCTACAACAGCTGCTGGGAGTGAAATGGCCATATGATGTTCAGAAAAAAAAAAAAACACGAACCGATCTTTCCCCAGGGTGTTCCCCGCGACGCCCAGGCCCAGGCCGGAGTCTTGGCAAGCAGCCATCAAGCTCTGACGTAGAGATCGTTTCGGTAAAGCCAGCGCCCAGATTGGACGAGAGCGAGACGCACGTGGGCGATGTTGATGCTGAGATGACAGCTACAATGACAGCCATCGGTGATACAGTCAAGATCTTGGAGCAGCCCGGGGCGCACTCCGTGAGTGGGCCTTGCCTCCTACATCCAGGGCAGAGCTGCCCGTTCACGGGGGCCACGGAACACTTCGGGCTAGTGTGCGAGGGAGCAGGGTGGTCATGCTTAGATTTTACCACAATCGGAAGTCGTCATGGTCTTGGAGGCGCGTCCACACTCCCAGCGCTGTCGTGCGCAAAGGGCTACTCCGTGGACAGACCGCGTATCGGCCTTTGGGAGTGCGCACCGCAATGGGACCCATGCATTTTCACATGCTTGTTGGATGACAGTCACACTCTCCACAAGTGCGAACCGCTGCCCTGCCCGTCTATGCTCGGCTGGCCCATTACGCGTCAGAGGTTCTACGGCATCTGCGTGAGGAAGGACGTGAGCATCCATCAGCCTTGGGCGGACTTCATCGCTCCATTCTTGCGCACGACTCAGATGACAGGCCATGATTTTTTCTTAGCGAAAGAATCAGATATTCAAGACGAGCTCGAACAGCTCGCGAGGAAGAAATGCGTGACCATCTTGCCAGGCGAAGGGTTGAATTTCGCACATTGCTTGACCGCATCCCAATCACTACATTTACGGATTGCACGGGAAGTGCATCAGAAATCTTGTGCCAAGAAACGTGATCGTGGTGAAGAACCTGGAGACTTGCTCTGCGATCTCGAGCACCACCCTGACAAGCGGTGCCGCGTCTCGACCACTGGATCGATGATGAGCCAACTCCGTCATGGAACGATTTGGAGTGATGCTGCTGAACGGACCCTCGTGGGATCAGAGATTCTAGCCATGCAAGGCTTTCCTACCAACGAAGTCGACGACTCGCACCCGTGCCCGCTGCCTTGGAGCCCTCGTGAGCTGGGGCTCAGTAGCCATGCGCTGTATAAGCTCATGGGCAACGGCATGCACATGCACATCCTCGTCGCGATGT